AATAATAATAATATACCAATAACAATAATAATAACAATAATATAAACAGTAATGAGAATCATAATAATGAGGATGTTAAGAACAATGATGATGGCGATGATATCGATTTAAAAAATAGAAAAATAAAGAATGTTTATAGCAATAATTATACAACGCCTATATCTTAATAAATATAACAATGTTATTATGTTTACTTGGTCTGAGAAAGCCTCCTCGTGTCTGAAACACTCTGCCCTCCTCCTCCAATCTGATTCAATCTCGCCATATTCTCGTCTCCACATTCCCTCTGTCTCATTCTGTTCTTATCTGTCTGCAATCTTGGATATGAACCCGTTTCTTTTAGCATCACCTGAAGACAAAATATTCATAAAGCAGACATAGAACGCCATTCACCAAATTATTATTCCGAGTCCTATCTTGCCGTCAGCCATGAGAAAAAGAAAACCGACATAGAATGAAATAAACACCTTGAAAACTTTTATGATACCATTGGCGAATTTTGAACTGCCAGTTATTATAAAAGTGATCGAAACAAGCGTGAAATGACAGTTTCAGGAAAAAAGAGGCTGAGGTAAAATGAAGAAAAGAAGCTTTAACACCGTCAACATGTTTTTAAAAAATATATTTTTTTATCAATGGCCAACTCTAATGCCACGCTAGCAGAGCCGTGATGAGTTGAGATACGCCTGGCAGAATTTTAAAAAAAATAGCGAGTCTGAGTGCAGGAGATGGGAAAGACAAACAAATGCATTGTTTATCTTTTGTATAAATACATTTTCCATTGGTTAAAAAATAAAAAAAGTAAAATTGTGAACCCTGCTCGAGCAATTGAGGACCAGCCAAGTTTTTAAAGAGGTCTTCCACGAAATAAGAGGTTTTTTTTCGTTGTTTTTTCCTGTTCCCGAGATGAAACTCATAACAACATAAGTGAACGCAACATGCGGATGAGAGGCAATTAAGAATTCTTGCACTGAAGTGGCCAAGCTCACAAGTCCCAAAAACGTCTGTCTATTCAGCCTACTGGCTTATGCTCCAAAAGGAGCGTAACATTTCCCCAGCGTGATTCTGTTAGTATGAATGTGAGAGTTGCAGTGGTGAAAATCATGAAAGCTTCGTCACTTCTGTCTCTCGGCCTCATCGTCATGACAACCGGTGTGATGTGCCAGGTACGTTTACACAGTTTATTCTTATTTTATTCCAATCTTTGCTTTGATTTTGATGTTTCCTTAACGAAAAAGAACTAATTTGAAGGTTGCAGGAAATTCGAGTTGATAAAAGTAATTGACAAGGAGGTGGGGGGGATTTGCGCAAAATTTTCAGACAATCTGGTTGAGGCTCACATGCAGGTCTATGTGCTGTAATATTAATATTGGTAAAAATAAGCATTACATCAGGTGCGTGAATGATTTATTTATTTAGAACTTAGATCTAGAATCTAGACTCAGCTGAGTCCCTCTGTTTGGAATCGGATGCGGATTTCTAGTTCAAGGCCTATTTCTATTCACTTGTTCTACAAGATCTAGATCTAGATTTACTTAGATTGCTAGATCTAGAACTATATGGAGTATTCATATATGATATTCCAATTCTCTTGTGTTATTGTATCAAACCCTATAGCAATGTAGATGTAAGCCATATAGATCTAGAATCTAGATATAGATCTATATGCTCCTGGTTTGTTTTGGAGTGTGGTTTTTTAATTTTAATTTGTTTAAAATTTAGGACTTGTTTTGGCCTTTTTACATGAGGCCCGTTGCAGGTTCTTTTTGGGGGTAGGGTTAGGGTTGTCTCTTCTTTATCAAGTGTTTGTTGGGGTGGTCGCTCGTTACTCGGATGTCCTTCCTTATGACACCCACAAAGGCTTTTTTTTGGGGGGGGTGCGCAAAATTTTCAGACAATCTGTTTGAGGCTCACATGCAGGTCTAATTGCTTGCAAGCCTAGCAGTAAACTAATACTGGCAAATTTGGTACTGATGTGTGCCTTTTTACTTTGAATACAAATCTACACTGTGCTTGTGGCTAAGTCTCTGAATGAAGAATTAGTGCCAAATGATTAGCAGGATGTCCATGTAATGTCTTAGATAACCAGGAAAGGTAAATTTTGCCTACTTCCACAACGTTCGTGGTACAACACAAAGCTACAGATTCCACATTTTCATGACATACCATGTACATCTTAAGGCAACAAAGGGGTTAAATAATGATATAAAGTTAAATCACGAAATGAACTTTCATCATGTCTTTGTTTGGTTGAAAACGCTTCACAGGCCGAGTTACCACGTATTAAAAATTTTTTCTCAGATTTGTTCAAGGTTCAAATCCATTGAACCCTCCATTTAATTATATTTACTTAAAAATTAGCACATATACACTATTAAGAAGTCGATTTCGACCATTCAAGTACACATTGAAAGAAGAAAGACTCTGCTTTCACTTTTTAGCCTTATTTCAGTCATATTTGATAAGACTATCTGCCAAGACCTCTTATAAATACAGGCTCAGGGCAGTTTTAGGTGGTGGGTGTGCGTTTGGCTACCCCCAGAGACTTTAGTGGTTAGCCGACTCGTGGTGACTATAGTGGATAAATGGTTACGTCACAGCCACATATTATGCAACCTTAATTCAGCTTGGGATATTTGTTTTTTGCATGTCAGTATTTTTTTTATTGTTCAACTTTTTATTACCTTTCTCTTATTGCAGGAAAGAGGAGACTCACGTGTATTAGAGATCATGTATGAGTCTGTGCCGAGAGAGCCCATGCCTCATAAGCCAGGCCCATCTATGGCAGAGATGATGCCAGGACCTGAAAATCTGGTGCCTGGAATGAGCCGGGATGACGAGAGCTCTAACTCTTCTGTTGCCGGAGATATGAGCAAAGCTGACTTTGGTGCTGCGGCTGCCATGCCAATGTCTCAGGAAGAAGAAGAAGAAGGGGAGGAGGAGATGCCACCGCCTTTGCCAGAGGAAGCGACGATGATGGAATCGCAGGAAAAGGAACAGGAAGAAGAGGAGGAGAACACATCGTAGTACAGGAATCGAAAGCCTCTGCAGAGTAGTATTATCGTGGTTTGTGGACTGGCCGTTGATCTGCCTTTGGGGTGCCTTGTTAAAGAATCTTTTGAAAATTTCTGAGGTCTTTGATTTACTGGGTTTTGTTCGTTTCTTGCCAGTTTATGAATGTGATGGCAGGTTGTTGGACAGTGCCTCACTGACAGGCCCTACTTCTTCTTTGGTATCCTTCTGTTACGTCTGTCTCTTCTTTTTTTCTCTCTACTGCGCCGAACGATTATTGATGTGTTGGTGTGCTTCTTTTTACTTGGAGCAGTGAAATTCCTGTACATGACATTAATTTTGCGTTTTTGGATATAGTCCAGTAAGTGTTTATGTGTTTCACCCAAATCCCACTGCTATTGTTTCTCCAACATTTAGTGTTGAGCTGAGGAACACAGTTCATGAAATTCATTCGTCTTCGGGCTTGCCATAGGGCAGACTTCACACTCATTACGAGGCTTGGGAGGGGGGGGGGGGTATTGGGCTCCTGTACACCCTTAAAATGCAGAACCGAACTTGTTGCGGATAGGACTGGCAGCGAATGGAAAGATAAGTCATGTGCTGGAGGGAGGTTTCGGTTGTGTTTGGAAGATTGCTCTATTAAGCTTTACCCTCCTGCTCCCAGATGCCAAGTTCTAAGTGTGAGTGGGTATTTATTGATCTTTGCTGTCACCGAGACTCAACAGACAGAAAGTATGAGAAATAATGAGTTTGAGACTAGTACAACTGAACGTTTGGTGATGAGGCATATTATATATTAAATTCTGTGAAATATAATGTGTTTTGAACAAATGATAGAATATTTGTGCTTGCTGCGTGTCTGGTGGAACTGTGATTTCTGGAGAAAATTTCCAACTTACTGGTCTTATAATGTGTTCTGTTGAAAGAACAGAGCTTTGCATATTGCTGTGTATTTTTTTTTTTGTAGAATGTGTATATTCTGTACTTGTGAGGAGAGTTGGTAATCAAAAACCCTCATTCATTGATCATGTTGTATATGCTGTAATTATCTGACAAAAAATGTTGACATTGATTTTTCTTCACATAAATAGAATTTGGTGAGTGCCTGGTCGAAGATTGTCTGAGAATTTGCTTTATCACAGTCAGAGAGTACAGAAACTTTTGTACAATGAGTCATGTGTTTCATGACAACAGTCGTTCATCGTTTAGCAGAAACTTCCCTTTACAGTAGCATTTGATTTCTCTTTATTCTCTCTTTTGTATCTTTTTTTTGTTTTGACTGGTTAAGGAAATAGTTTCAAATCCTTAAGACTTAAGGTGTCACATTTCAACTGGATCTGTTCTTATTTTCAAGATGTTACCGTGACTATGTTAATGAAGATACTGATGTGTGTATGGGGGAGGGGGATCCCCCGTTGGGGTCATTGGGTGCTTTGAGTGAGTGCATTCTCTGTGGTGCAGTCTCACTGATGATTTTATTCTTTGTTCTTGTAGTGTTTGTCAAGTCCTATCTGAATTTGTGAATAAATGTGTACCAAGGCATAAAACACATGGTGTTTCGTCTTGAGTTCCATTTTTAGATTTTATCTCGAACGGGATCTTATCTTGTATTATTTTATGGGTGGGGTGGATAGCTTTAAAATGAGCTATTTAATGATGCAGTAATTTGTTTAGACATGCTTTAGTCCTTCCCTTCTATGTCGTCTCATTCCCCTCGCCCACACTATACTTCTGGTCCGGTCTACAAGTTTCTTGTCCTTTTGTATACAGTAGTCCCCCAACCCCCCAACATTTCACCGACCAGTCCTAGACCTATGTGTCGGTGGTAAGTTGGGTGTGAAAGCGCTGTCCAATACTCTCTTTGTTTGGCGTAAGGGGCAGTCTCACCAAATATCAGGTTTTCTAGGCTTGTCGTAGTGAAAATTTTCCTTAGTCAAGCTTTTCCTGTCAGCGTGTTTCGCTGATCTGAGCGTGCGTTTAGAGGGAGTGACTGTACGTTTGTACGTCTAAATTATATAGTAAAAAACCCGTCAGATGACGAAAGCGTGCGTTTGAGTGGAGCGTACTTTTGTATGGCGTGTGTTTAGGCGGAGACTACTGTAACTGATTTGCCTCTAGATAACAATTTTTCCTTGCTTGTTAGAGGTTCTTTTATTCAGTGGCTAAATTAAACAGTTTTAGGAGGTACTCTGTTATTTTTTGCAAGTAGTTTCTGCAATTTTGGTTGGGATAAATTATTGGATATTTCACTCTGAACCTGATGAATCAGACCAAATTTTCTTGGGTACTCATTATTAACGTCAAAGTTGTGCTTTATCCTACATTCTGCATACACAGGAGTTCATAAGGTTTTGACCTTTCTCTGTCTCTGAGAATAACAAGGAATGTGTACTCAAAGTTAGTATGATCAGTAACAGTCCATCATCTGTATTCACAGGAACCCGGCTAGGAACTAAATGCTTGAAAAAAAAGCATTATGTTGTCTAAGAACTAATATGCGGGTGGCTGAAGAGAGGGAATAAATAGTTTTTTCTAACAAATATGAAATTTTGTGTGTAGTTTCTACTGTATGCGGCTAAAGTAAATGTCAAGACATAATAATAATAATAATAATAATAATAATAATAATAATAATAATAATAAATTACACTTTAATTTGTCCCAGAAGGGCACTTTGTTTTACAATGGCAAACATACATACATAAATACATAATTATAAATACGTACATACATAAATACATACATACATAAATACATACATAAATACACACTATTACACAAATACAGAACAGTTTACAAACAATGCCACTGTCGGTCGCCACTGTGCAGCGCCCTGACGGCTGGGATTTGAGCATGATTTTTACTGGGTTTTTTCCTCTTGGTTGAACATCATTTTGAATCCACACATTTTCAAATGTTGTTCAGATTTTGGTTTCTCTATGAGGGTTTGTTTGACCTGGAGTACAGGATGCTGACACTTGTAGTTGAACTTTGCCATCAACTGTTAGGGAGTCTCACCTCACCTAGAGGTTCTCCTATACCCATCAGGTGGTTGGGGTCGCCATAGTTAGTCCTACTCTTTTATTTCCCTCTATTGTTTCTGTCTGTATATCTGTATATCTTTTTTTTTTCTCCTTCACCAAGTGATTGGATGCTTCTCTTTACTCAAACCCAAATCTTCTACACCGGGTATTGGCAAACTACGGCCACATCTGGCCCACGAGCAGTTTGCCTGGTCTTTTGAGTTAACCCAATAATTAAATAATGTGGCCTGTGGTGAGGTTACAATTGATACAAGTACAAGCAAAACTGTCATTTTGAAAATTTAAATCAGTAGCTTTTGGCCCAGATGGAAGCCACAGGACTACTATGTTATCCCATGAAATTATCTGAAACACCCTTGGGTGACTTGCGTTATACAGTTTCAGTTTCAGCCTCACTCTTCACTTTTGAGAGCTTGGGTATTTCAACTGATTCCGCCCAATGTTCTTCGGCTCTGGCCCGTGAGATTTTTGGAATCGCTTAATCCGGCAGCAACTTCTCTCTCTTTCTCTCTCTTTCTCTATCCCTCTCCCCCCCTCTCTCTCTCTCTCTCTCTCTCTCTCTCTCTCTCTCTGTCTGTTGATTGAATCCTGTGCTGCTTCATCCGAAGTTATTGCTCTTACCCATGAGCACAGGCAGGAGATGTGAGCTTGATTCCTCGTAGTGGAAAGGTAAATTTTCTTGAGTATCTGTTTTTCTGTCTGTTGTCCTCGCAGTCTGGATTGGCCGTGACAAATGCGGTTGAAGCAGCCAGCCTCCTGAATGGTCAATATTGTCTCGATAAGTGTGTACGTTTACACGATCACTTGCTCGTAACCTCTTGCCCGTCATTGTACTCGCTAGCCGCTATGTTAAAACGACAACCTCTGGCCTAATACATTTTAAGCTGTTTCGACACTCAAGTGAAGAAATAATAATATTATTAAGCGATCCTCAATTCAGTCTGCTGGCATCTGTGTTGTGTAGGGTTAGGTGCACTGCTATTGCATGCAGAAGACTCAAGTTTTTCTGATGCTGGCCCATTACTAAAACCAGGGACACCTGTCAAACATGAAACATCAGCAGACATGAGAACAAAAACTTTTGATTGATTGAAAAATTGAACATGCTCAAGGAACAAAATCCCAACCCATAATGTAATCAAGATCTTCTAACAAGGGAAATAACCAACTTGTCACTTAAATGAGACTTATTACGGTGATTATTTCCCTTTAGTCACATGACGAGGCGTTATTAATTGTTTTGTGAAAAAAAAAGGAAAAAAAAAAACCGCGGCGAATCCAAAATTATGGAAATATTGCAGAATTATGCGAAAAAACGCGGCCTCGCCGCGGCCGCACAATCGCATAATCCTACTGGGACAGAATTTTATGTTAGGCCTTTCACTTTCAGAAATTAGATGGGAAGGGGCAGACTATTTTAAAAGAGGATCCAAAACAATTATATAGATCTGTCCCCGTAGAATTATGCACACTTTGAAGGCCAAATTATGCCCCCCCAAAAAAGCAAAATCATTAAAAAAATTATGCAAGTTACCGTAACACCATTCGCGACATGTTTTGCACTTTTTTAACATGAAGTTTCACGATTTTCATGTTTTATGTACAGAAAAATTGAAAACAGAACATTTCAGTATCAGTAATTTGCTGTGTATTTGGAAAAGAAAACAATACACATCAGTTTAAAAAAAAAAAACAACAACAAAAATATTTAAATCTCTGTAACTTTCAGCTGTAGATCTAGATATATATATAGAGGAAAGAAAAATGTTTTTAAAAAAGGGACATCTGGACCTCAGATGCCTGCACATTACTAAAACCAGAGACACCAGTCAAACATGAAACATCAGCAGACATGAGAACAACAACTTTTGATGGATTGAAAAATTGAACATGCTCAAGGAACAAAATCACAACCCATACCAAGATCTTCTAACAAGGGAAATAACCAACTTTTCACTTAAATGAGACTTTTTACTGTGATTACGTCCCTTTACTCACTTGGCGGGGCGTTAATTGTTTAGATGGGAAAAAAAGGAAAGAAACGTGAAAAAATGAGGAGAATCCAAAATTCTGCAAACGTCGCAGAATTAAGCGAAAAAAACGCGGCCGCACAATCGCATAATCCTACGGGTCAGGAGGAAAAACCCATAAAAGAGGAGTCGGAATTTTATATGACGAAGCAACTGCAAAGAGCATCAAATGTTTTTTTGGGGGAATCATGGCTAAATTAGAAGAAAAACCTTTTCTCATAGGTGTCATCCAAATCTTTACATCAACACAAGAGCATGACAACGAAGAAATTGAGACATTTTATGAAGACATTGATAAGGCAATGAGACAGTTAAAATCACAAGATGTTAAAGTAGTCATGGGGGACTTAAATGCCAAAGTAAGATGTACACGTATAGATGATCATAATATAGTTGGGCCATGGGGACTGGGTAACGAGAATGAACGCGGGGAACGACGGATAGAATGGTGCAGAGAAAATGATTTTATGATCTCAAACACCTGTTATGAAAATCACCCAAGAAGACGATACACTTGGAAGAGTCCTTGCGATAGAAGTAGAAATTATCATATAGATTTCATACTTATTCAGAAACGTTTTAGAAATGCAATTAAATTGTCTAAATCTCTGCTGGGAGCAGACTGTGATAGTGACCATGTACCAGTTACGTGTAAAATGCAGATGAGACCGAAGAAACTTAAAAAGTCAAAGTACCAACCAAAATCTGACAGATCTTTTAAAGACAAATCTAGAACTGAAAGAACGTTTCTCCATATATGTAAGCAATTAATTTCAACCTCTGGAAAACATGACTAAATCGGAAGAGCTATGGAGGAAATTGAAAGGCTCAATAATGGAAGCTCTTGAAGAAAATCTCCCCCGAAAGCTAAAATAGAAAATTAAAAAAGGATGAAAAATCAAATATGGAAAAGTACAACATCTTTAAAAGGGAATTAAAGACAAAATGCAACGAATCAAAAGAAACATGGATAAATGATCAGTGTCAACAAATAGAGAAAAACCAAAACTAAGACAGCAAATACATGCATTCCAAAATCAAAGAAGTTAGTGGGATAAAAGTCTGCTCAAATACAGGATGCATAAGATTAAAAGGAGGAGATATTTTAATGGACAATGGTGATGTCTTAAACAGATGGTCAGAATATATAGAACTTTTCAAAGATAATAGAGGAGAAAAACCGGTAATAAAGAATGAAATGAATGGACCATCAATACTGAAACCAGAAGTACAAGCTGCCATTAGGAAAATGAAAAGAAAAAAAAGCCACAGGGCCAGATAATATCCCAGTTGAAGTGATTGTCGCACTTGAAGAACAAGCACTGAAATAACAACAAAGCTCCTAAATGCGATTTATGACAGCGGTGAGATCCCAGAAGATATGATGAAGTCAGTTGTTATAGCTTTACCTAAAACTCCAGGTGCCACTGAGTGTGATATGCATAGAACAATTAGCCTTTTGGGTCATTTTACAAAA